TGAGTTCAAATATAAATTACAAACTTTAAGCGATTCCTGAGACAAGCAATTCTCACAATTTGTTTAAATTAATTACATTTAATCATTAGATGAGACTTTAATAGTAGGCTCGACGGGGATTATTCTGGAAACACAATTCAATAGTCAGTTCTTAATAAGCGATCAATTAGAGTATATTACCAATGGATTTGGTCTAAACCTATAGGCCATCATCATTCGTTTACGATAACTATACATATAGATCATTGCATTCAATTATTTTTAAGTTATGATAATTAAATTGTGAAGACATACGCTTCGTATTCATCGTCTCTATCACTGAGTTCTTCGGGACGCGTTTGACCTAAACCTGCGTTATTCACACCAACAGGACCTCTGGTGTCACAAAACATATACCAAATAAATATAAGTTAATGAACTAACTTAGAAACGCAAAGCATATGTTTGCAGAACCAACTTGTTAATGGGTTCGGCAGTGCCGGTGCCCTCCGCGCCGAGTCCCTGGCCTTCACTCCATCCCAACTTTTTAAGCATTTGAAAGCCGACGTTATCTTCTGTGAGCTTCAAATCGCTGTAATCAGACTCCGGGGCGAGAGATGTGCCGCCCTTTAGTGATTCCCATTTCTTCATAAACTTGTCGAGTTCTTCGGGAGGCATGAAGTCTCCGATGTGATGCTTTCCGCTCGCATTTTCGGTCAATACATTGGCGATTCCGTGCGTTTGTTGCATCTCTTGTCGCCGGCGCTTGTGTTCCCACGTGCCGTCCTCCACGTCTTCGTCCGAATCGTATTCATACTTTACTTTTCCACTCTTTGCCAGCATTTGGTTCGTCCTTTGCTTCTTCTGAAGCATTTCAAACAGTAATTTCATTTTTCTTTGATCTTCGAGTTGTTTCCATTGGTCTGCAGTCAGTTCTGTGGTTCCAAACACTTGGATCGCGTACTCAACTAATTTGGGATCCGATGGCATTGTCGCCACTTTCTCGTCACTCCAACGAGACTTTCTCTGTCTCTTAACAGGTTTGCTCGAAGAGGAAGATTCTGCGCCTG